TTCCGAGAGATTTGCGAGACGGAATTAATTTCTACGTCGTGCAAGTTGTCCACATTTCCCTTTAGGGTTTAGGGTTTAGGGATTTATTTCTGATAATCTTGCGCGACGAAACAAATTATCGTCGCGCGTAGCGTATTGCGCTACGCAATTAATACCATTTGTCGCGCAAGATGTCGAAATTTTTGGCGGCTTAGGGTTTAGGATTTAGGGTTTAGGTTTTGAGAATCTTGCGACGAAATGTCATGTCGTCGCGCAGATGTCGTTAATTTGATGATTAAAATATTACCTTGGGCGACGCCATTATTTTTGCTGTCGCGCAACACATGTTTGCGCGACGTAGTTTTGTTTTTCGTCGCACAAGATGTCCAAAATATAGGCGGCCCTTCGTGAAAAAATCGCGGTTTTTTATCTTCGTTATCGTCTCCAGATTCGAACCCTAGCTCGAACCCTCGAACCCTAAACTTCGATTTCGAACCCTCGAACCCTATCAGGTTTAAATCCCCGTTGAACCCTCTCACCCTCTCAAACTGAACCCTCTCGCCTTTCACCCTCTGCTTCGAACCCTCTGACCTCGCACCCTCTCACTTCGAACCCTTTCAGTTCCCTCATTCGAACCTTCAAACCCTCTCACACCCTCTGAGCTCTCTCATTTGAGCCCTCTCAGACCCTCTCTCATTCGATCCCTTTCGTCAAATTGCTCGATTCTCAGGCTGACTCTCGCACCTCAATATCAGGTATATCTCCTCTTCCTCTAATTGCTCTGGATCTGAATTTTGAATGAACAAAATTAGGGTTTTTTTTTGTCCAAATTAAAATTTGGGTTTCATGAAATTATTTAGGAATTCGTTTTTAATTGCGCTGTATTGTTTAGGTTCTGTTATTTGATGGAAATTAATTAGGGCTTTTGTAATAATTGGGTTGTTTTTAGGTTCTGTTGTTGGTTTGCATGTATTGTTTAGGTTTTGGTGGATGTGATTGTGAATGTTGATTAATTGGGGGATTGGGGCTTTGCTGGAAATTGGGACTTTTGCTGTTCAAGTGGCTGTTTTTAGGTTCTCTGTAGGTGATTCATTTGCTGCTTGGTGTCAGATTATGCATTCTGTGTTGCTGATTAGATGGATTGTTTTTAGGTTCTTTTTTCGGTGTTATGTTGTTCAGTTCTTGAATGATGATTAATTGGTTATGTTTCTGCTGCTTCAAGGTTATCATTGCTGGTTACATTTTGGTGCATAAATGGTAGAACGGTATTATGCTGGTTATAGTTTTGTTAACTGCATGTATTGGTTGCTGCTATTAGTTGTACAATTTGGCAAACTTTTTCAGTTTTCTCTCTTATTACGGTTTTACGCATTTTCTGATGCAGGAGCATGTATTAAGATAATTTGTTTTCAAGATGGACCACTTGCCAGTTGGTCCAAGGGTGTCCGATGCGCCGACGTCATCAACGTCGTTAGTGGCGCAACCTGTTAGCGCCAGGCGTCGTCATCGCCCACCCAGCACCTTTGACACCATATCGACAGACGCTTCTGCTGGGTCGGGGTCACAACCCGGTAAAGATTTCCTTCACCTCCAGTTCTTTTGGACCAATATTTTTTAGTTGCATATCTTATTTATTTAACGTTCATTTCATATTTCTTTGCAGCGAAGAAGAACACTCGGGGACCATGTCGGCAGTTGAAGACGGCGAAGGTCACCCGGGTGACCAACAGTCGTATCAACATTGAATACGACGTGCGCGAACATTTGTCGGTATGTATCCTACATTTTATTTGTTTGTCCTTCAAATTTTATTTATTTATATGCCTGGTCTATAATGAATTTATTGCAGACGAAATACATGTTAGAGGACCTCGATGATGAGTCATTGGCGTACGTCAATAGACTTTTTGGTGAGAGGTACAAGAAGTGGAAGAGCAACTTGCACCACCATTTTCAGGCATTTGATGATCCGCAAGTCGCTCTTGAAGAGGGTTGCCCGAAGAAGCTTGAGGGCCGGGAGGATAGTTGGGCATGGCTCTGCGCTCCTTTTCTGGCACCAGAATATGTGGTATTTTTATTTTTATATTAATTGTTCAAACTTATTACATGTTTCTTACTAATGTTTATTTAATTTTTTCTATTTCATTTCAATTTCAACTGATACGTTTATTTTTTGTGTAACAGAATAAGGCCACAGTAAATAAGGGCAATAGGAAGAAGAAGACTCTTCTCCACCATTCAGGTTCC